ATTAATTAATTTGATAATAATTAACTATTTAATTTTTAAATTATAAATGAGTTTAATAGTCATTTTATTTATTTATTTACTCTTGTTCCTCTTTGCTAACGGTCTTCCATAGGGCTGCGGCACTTTTAATCTTAGAAATTAAGTCCTGTTTAACTTAAACACAAAATCATGCAAAATCTATGCAACCCATTTTATTCTCCGGAATATTACAGCTTACTGCTATTATACTGCTATATACGCTACTTTTAAATATATAAATAACGAACAGAATGTTTTTGAAAGGTTCTACTTATTGCACGATTCCACACGTAATTCTGATGCTAATGCTGATTTTCATCAATCCAAATAGTTCTGATAAGCACGTAGTTTTAATCTTCTTCGAATCGTTAATAGGCTAAATGGATAAGACAACTGAGCACTGGTAGTTCCACCTGGGTTCATATCTCAGCAAACGAACAAGCCGCATGGGGGCTGTAACACACTCGTATATTACATTACGATACACTTGTAGTTCTCAGCAAACCGAACAAGCTACATGACCGTGTTCATAATTTTTTACATGCGTAACGTGAATACGGGCCTATTTCGTCTGGAATGCTCTTCAAAGGCATCGCGCCTTTGGCAGACACTTAGAATGTCCTGCTATAATCCAATGAATTCATATATCTTGCTTTCGATCTTAATCGAATATCAAAATGACAAATAATATATATATTTCTTTTTGCGTATACTTTTAAACAAATTTTTTCCCTCAATTCCAAGATTGTTATAGTCATTTACTCTGCCAGAACTAAAATTATGAATAAAAAAAAAGGCAGTATAAGAAAATGTAAGCAATATTATATAATGTTTACTATGAGAAATTCTACTAACTTGGAAACGGAAGTAGCAGCCATTTTCCCAAATAGCAATGCTTTACTTTTGTGATGTTATACAGCCATCTATGATCGACAGTTAAAAGTTCTAATAATATAGAATAAATAAACACAGGAATGGAATCTTTTAAGGCATTTACAGAAGAATAAAGAAATTTAAACTTTTGTCTACTAGAGTGGACATGATGCAACAAAGGATTAACTGTCTGGGTTTAAGCCCATATGAAATCTCACATATAAATAAAATGTTTACTGCTGTTCCCCTCCCTCCTTTCTTTACTTCCTTATACGATGTTAGTATTGTAAGTATTGAATAACGAAATTGAAAACGATGAAGTATTGTAATTACGAAAAGTTTCGGATATCATATTTCAACGAAAATATCCATTTTGAACACTCCCGAATCGATTTGGACGATTCTTTTGTGTGACATCTAACAATAAAGGGGTCTTTTGTTCCAGAAACGGATTGTAAAATACATTAAGGGTTTTTTTTTTTTTTTTTTTTTTTTTTTTTTTTTTTATGTCTGTACGTATGTATGTATTTCTCATAACTAAAAAACGATTAGCCGTATAAGCTTGAAATTTTGTATGTGGGACCGCTAATAACATCTAGTTGTGCGCCTCATCTTTTTTATTGCAATCGACCATACCAAACGTATACATACATATACACACGCAGCCCTGTACTTGGCTCGGTGAGCTCTGTTTTTATTCTTATATATTGTTAAATTGTGTATTTTTTGCTTTAAAAGGGATTGAATTCTGTTGTTCTTGGTCAAGGTCTTCATGCTCTTATATAATCTGCACGCAATACTTGTAGAATTATCAACAATTTGAAAGTGGCGTTAAGCCTAACGTGGCACGAATTTGTTTACATTTGAAACTTAGAAATGTAGTAAATTAAGTCAGTCGGTGCACCATTTTCAGAGTCCTTCTGTCCAGCAGGAAAGGAAGTAACTTTAAACTTCTTGTGCACCAGAATTTTATCTTTCTGCCCTTTAGCCGGTTTGTTTTGGCGTTGAAACTAATTTTAATTACAAAAACTGTTTTTCTGTTATCAACTGTATTCAGTTTTTTAGGTTTTTCTGTGTTTTACAATTTTTACTAAAGATATTTTTACTATAGATAAGTCAGGTTTAATAATCGGAATAAACTGGATTTGAAGAGTTATTCATAAGTGGTTAAATAAGAGTACTACATATATGCTGATGGAAAGGTACGAATACGGGAAGACTTTCGGAGAAACCCGTTATGGTATGGTGTTGCATAAACGACAACCATAATACAACTAATTTGTTGAAATTTTGGGCAAAACTACCAGTATTTCACGGTTTTAATCTTTCAGCCATTGGTGAGTTTTTAACGTCAAAGTAACAATGTTGCAATAATGAAACATAACTAGTTTTAGCAGTTTCTGAAATACTTCCAATAGAAGAAATACAATTATTAATGATACAGAAGAAAGAATTTCTCTTCCGCGCGTTGCATATAATTTTACAATACTAAGAAAAAATACAAACATCTTAGTATGATCCCCCTGCTACAAATTTATAAAATGTTACTTTACAAGATTATAGCCATCATATTATTGACGATAGAGAAGTTCCTTTTCAAGTACCGTATTACTATTAATGATATAAGAGAAAGAATTTCGCTTCCGAGTATTACACATAAATTTAAAACATTAAGTAAAAATACAAACATCTTGGTATGGTTCAACTGCTACAAATTTATAAAATTCTGCTTAACAAAAACAAACTTTCAATCGTCATTGCATTAAAAAATCACTAAGAGAACAACTTAAATACAATGCAGAAGATTCCAGAAAACACAAACAAAATGTCATTCAATCAATACAATGATAAAATATTTACATTTTTGGGAACTACTTCATGAATTATTCATTATAGTTTGTTGCATTATTATCTGTCTTATGACTGTTTTACAAATCAGAACAAACGAACGAGAATACAGAATTAAAGATATGAAAGCAAATGCGGTTTAAATATTAAAATATTATTTATTTAACTCTTGGTTTATCTGATGTTTTTGATAATCGCGCATCTAATCGTAACGTTTCAAATCGCTAATGAAAATGCCGATGTTAACATTAACAAAAGGGTAGGAATCAGAATATTTCAGTTCTTAATCTGAATTCTTTCTTTCTGTTGCCCCTCCCTCTTTTTTTTTTTGATGTTTTTTGAAATCGCGCATTAATCGTGTTTCAAATGCTTGAAAAATAACATTAACAAAAGGGTAGGAATCAGAATATTTCAGTTCTTAATCTGAATTCTTTCTTTCTGTTGCCCCTCCCTCTTTTTTTTTTTTTTTTTTTTTTTTTATTACAAAAGAGCATGCATAAAATTTATAACTAATCGAGAAAAATAATACAATATAAAATACTGTTCTGTTATCAGGACTGGATTCAGAAATGTATGTATGAGCGTGTATACACACACACATATTCGTACATACATGCACGCATGAACACATACATTCATTCATGCGTACATTTCTGAATCCGGTCCTGATAGCAGAACAGCACCCAGTAGTTGAGAAGATTGGTAAGATTAGAACCAAAAGAAACAACGGAACTGTTGTACGAGTTAGTTAAAGCAGAAACTTTTCAGTGGTTAATATGGTTAAGTTGCTGAAAGAGCGTCGTGTTCATTTAACTCGTACATGAATCAGTTTCGTCGTTTTTTAGGATTCTATGGATGTGTGGTGTATTTAATTATGGCAAAGCACACTAGGGCTATCTGCCTAAGGGGAGGGATGCCTTCGTGGAGGACTTTCTAAGGGAAACTGGCTCGTATACACGTTACACATATAGCCAGCCCGTTCGCGGGATTCGAACCTCGAACCGAACTACCAGTGTTCAGCGACTTTACCGCTCGGCCGCTGGTGGGCTCCTAGGATTCTATGGAAGTTGCTATAAGAAATTTGGGGAAATTACCTTTTTCCATGCAAAGAATTATCAATATATTAGCAAAATGTATGAAAACTCAGCACTGAACTGTTTTTTTAATTCAAAAAGTGAGTGACAAAACATTTAACCCCCTTTTTCTAATGTTACGCTAGTACGATTTACAGAAACCAGTTTTCTAAAAAAAACAACTTCTTATACTTGGGTAGTACAGTATATCATATTTAATATAGAAAATTTATTTAAGTGCACTTTCGAAAAACTTGCAGAATTTTTTAATGCAATTATTTTTGTTTATTTAATTATTTGACACTCTGCAGCATATGTAAAATGTGAAAATAGATCTATTTATACCAGGTAGTACTTTAATGTTGTGTTTTTGGTTAAAGACTATGAATTGGCATTGCTGTAGAATACTTACGAAACAACATTATTTACCATAATTAATATTTCCCCTTATTGTTCTGAATATTGCACTTACGCTTAAATGTAAACATTAAGTACACATGTTATGGCATATTTAAATGTAAAAATACGCCCTATTTATACGAGGCACTACTTTGGAATTGTATTTTAGTCATAGATCTTGAACAACGGTCATTTTCATTAGCAATTTGAATGTTACAGACTGCTAATGAAAGAATACCATGACAATTAGTATTTACATCCAGTCTTATATAAAAATTAATTATTCGATCAGGCCTTAACATATTTCTTGAAAATTACTCTCGCATTTCATATTTTAGTCAGCATCATTTTAAAAAGCCAAGGCGTAGAGTTTAAAAATTAAATATTTTACTCGTAACAATTCGACTTTGCAATTTCAAGAAAGAACTGTTTTTGAAAATATACATTAATAAATTATTGTCAGAAGTCTGTATTTACTGGCACCCACTTTTGTGACAGAAAATGAATTTCATAAACAAACTACTACACAAAGTTAACTATTTATTTGAAATCATCATTTTCAAGAAGAAATTATTTTTGTAAATACACCGATAAATCTTTTTTTTTTTTTAATTATTAAAGTAATTTTTTAAAACATTACACTTGTTTAGCATGCTAAGCGGAATGCAAAGCATAACAACGACAGAGACACATGGTTGCTCATAATACACCAGTCTAAAGCGGTGGGAAAGGGGGTAAAAAAAAAAAAGACTAGATCAGCTGGCAAAAAAAAAATAGAGAATGACTCACCTCCACTCAAATCGGCAACCGCGGAGACTTTAATGATTACTAGGAGTACTTGGACCCAAAGCAACCACCTCCACATGAGATTGCATACTCGAAGCATGATAGTAGATGCAATGTCGAGTCACCATTCACAGACGCCGGTTCACTTCAAGATAGATGTGTATCGAACGATTCAAATTTTCGGAGATGCACTTCACAGAAACAAAAAATCGGGCATTTTCGGCCCAGTCCGGAGATACGCTATTTGCAGACGACTCGACCCGAAAACACGTGCAGGGTTAGGATGATAGTGATAATGCAGTATTGGCGAGCGATACCGAGGTTGCAATAGTTTAAGGACCTCACTTGCCCATTGCATCGTTTCTCCGACGCCGCTTTCCAATACGGTTGTATTGCTTGGTCGTGTTCACTGCGACTGCGCCATTACGCTACTCAGCCGCCATCTGTCGAAGCGCAGGGAATGTTTTCAACCCCCTAGCAGCGCATTTGTAAACTAATAAGTATCGAAATGGGAGGGAGATCCCTTCTTCCAACGAACGTTCAGTTAACATTCTTTCTAACGCACATCACATTGTTTTTAAAATGATTTTCAGAATAGCAGTGATTTTTTTTTAGAATCGGAAAATCAAATTTTGAGTAATATTAGTATAATTTATTCAAGTCGAAATTTCATTGGGAGGGCGGGATTTCGTTCAAATACTTATTTCTAGGATTCAGAAAATTTTTAGGCGAAATTTTATTTTAAAATTGTAAAGTTTCCTTAAATAAAAACAGTAAAATTTCCTTTTGTTAAATGAAACTTGCCCATCCTGTGTAAAATCTCTCAAATTTCAGCATGTTAGTTATAAAAAGAAATGAATACGTAAGCATTTGAAGAAAGATTGATTTGATTTTAAGAGAAATAGTTTTCTCAGATTATTTCCATTGCAAAATAATTGATCATACGCATTAACTTTGAAACTTCCGCTGTTTATGGAGTTTTACAGTTAGTAAAGTTTCCATCTGTCAGAATGCATCCAAAATATAAATCCATTCATGATATCCTGCCAATAAATCCGCATTTTACAAATCTTGCGACCACTTACAAATACGTATTACACATTTCGCTTGTTTCAACATTATGCTATCTAGTAAGTAAAGTTCCTATCCGTCGCACTCTATTGATCTGATAAGAACAGCAAATCCACAAATCTAGACATCTAAAAATCTATATTGATTGCGGGAAATGCACATTAAACCTTTTGCATGCTTCAATATTATGTTATCTAATAAGTAAAGTTCCTATGTGTTGCAGTCTATTGATCTGAAATAACAACCAATTGATAAATATACACTTCTAAAAATCTATATTGGCATTGATCTGTTATGTTATACAGTGAAATCATGGTTCACAAACTTTAAGACTTTTAAGGTTAAAACTTCATTCTTGAAGACAGTATTTCGTTATCTGAAATATTCGTAACCCGAAACAATTTTTCCCATAGGATGTAATGTTAAGTGAATCAGTATGTTTCTGGATCCCAGATGATTACTTAGAAAAGAGTACTTTATACCTAACTTCATAATGCAAGGCCAAGTGGAATTTTTTTAATCTAGCACACACAACGCAATACTAAACATACAGAAATTATGAAAACTTAGGTATTAAATTTTAACGTTATTTCCACGATGTAAGTAGAAATCGGTGAAGAAGACAAAGGTACAATACAATATGTTATTATGAAAGGGAAATCCCTATTCCTTGTAAGTATTATAGAGCTTTTTTTTTTTTTTTTTTTTTTTTTTTTTTTTTTTTTTTTTTTTTTTTTTTTTTTTTTCCCTTAAGACCGCTCTGCTCTACTTGAGAATCGTGGAGAAATTTTCCCAGCTGTGTAAACCACAATTCAATAAAGACACTGATTTCAGATATATGTGTCATTCATTTTCATCAAATCGTTTCCGATTACTTTGTACATTTCATGCGCTCTAAAAATATGATATCTTTTAAAAGATCCAAACCATTTTCGTAGGTCTAGGCTAGCAGTTCTCAACCTGTGAAAAAAATTATCAGTAATGGCGGAAAATGGCAAACTGTTACAATAAATGCTGATAAAAATCAAAATACCCAGAAAATTAAAATTTGACATTGATTAAAAGGGTGGGGGGAATTGACTAATTCCAATGTGAATGTATTATCTGAAATGTGTTTATAAGCAATGTATTGAATGCAATTTATTTGTTTTATGTTATTAAAATAAAAACATTGTAAGATATATTGCGAGAATACTGAAAGACTATTGCGGGTTATAAGTTCTTAAGGGAGAAGTAAGAGGTACTCTATAATTAGAGTCTGTTTCACGGAGGAAGGAATTTATCTGTCTCATTAAGGGGTACCTGAAATAATTCGGTCCCTTTAGGGGTACGGAAAAGAAAAAAGTTGGAAATCACTAGTGGCACGCGAACCATCGAAGCCCTGTTAAACTAAACGTACTAATATTCAAAACCATACTGTATTTTTATTTAGTTAATTGAAAAAAAAACCACTTTAATATTTGATATCTATTATAACTGCAAAGATTTATATATCTGCGGCTTGCTATAACGCATAATTATTGATAATGTCTTCGTATTGCAGTTTTATAGCAGCATTATTTAATATTCGTAGAAACGCCTTTTTATTGACTTTTATTCATTTTTTCTGCTTTTTTTGCTTTATAGGTTTTAATGCACATTTTACCATTTTTGGCTAATAAATATGTTTCAACATCATAAAGAAACGATCAATGTACATTTACCATACTGAGTTGCTCAGAGTTCCTTAATAAAAATGCTTGAAAATGATACATTTTATTTAACTGCTTTACTACAACTGAATTTTCATCAGAATATTAAAAGTTCGAGATTTCGTTTCTTTTGTGGAATTCTTTAGTTTTGTAAGCAAGCTTAACATCTAACATTTTAGCCAAATAATTAGCCTCAATCACAACGCTTTTAAGCCTACACTTGTATAATAAATCAAGATTTTTCTATATATTTAGAAATATGGATTTATTCTTAAAATTTTACATGAGTGTGTTCAAAAGTCGCCTCTCCAACACCATGCTTAACAACACAGTAAACTTGTTTCAGATCTGTTGATTCATTGAGAATTCGTCGTTCATAAGAACAACTTGTCTCGCCCTCCCCAAAAACTGGCGCCTTCAGCAGCTGCATAAGCCATCTATGCTTGAAGTCATGCCTGGTAATTTATTTTCAACAACAGGGGATGCTAAAAAGACATAAAATGTTCATGCGCTTTGTTTCGATCATGTTTCTAGCCCCCCCCAAAAAAAAAAAAAAAAAAGGCCTCATTTAAGAAATTTTAAATTAATCCATTAATTTCATTTCAATTTCCTTTTCGGAATTCGAAATACAATGTTCATTTTGTTCCCTACTGAAGTATAATAAAGAATCCTGGAACTTCCTTTTATATTTAAATTTAGCTGCCGTTATCAGTACAAAGGTTGCTGGCTGCCGAAATCACGCAGAAGGGATGGATGTTTTGTGCGACATGGGGACACTTAAATTGCTGCTGAGACTAAAGTCTCTCGAAAGATTTGGTGGGAAGGAAAGAGGAGTGGGAGACTCTTATATCCGTTCACAAGATATTCTGCATCAAAACTCGGTCAATCGGTCACCCTTTGTCGAATGCTTTCGAAAACGCTGTCGTTAATGAGACTGCTAAATGGCCAATGAGTATTGGCCATTCCAGATGAATGCATTAAGTAATGTAGCAGCTATAATAAAAACAGCAACAGGCATCTTCCGCATAGAGGACATTGTCAAAAATCATTGCCGAATTAAAAAATCCAATTGCATTTTTCGAGGAAATACAATTCATTATCTCACAGTTTTATTCTTATGTCACTCTTAACAACAAACGGGTATTTAATCCAATCAATGCGGAACAGAAGAATTCTACACAAGAATGGATTATTATCTGTTTAGCTACGCAACGGTTATAAATTTGGAACATTAACTGCAATAAAAAATAATAATAAACATGTCCGGCTTCAATATTTTGAAAACTGACGCTCAATATGAGTTAAAAACACATTAAGAATTCAGAACAAAATACACATTTATTAACTTAGTTATGACGTCCTCATAAATCGGAGTCTTAGGCAGTCTGATGCACCTATGCTTGGAGTCGATTATTTTAATAAATTTCAATTGCAAAAATATTTTTTCTCACACCTGCTCAAATTAACTTTTTTTTTTTTTTTTTTTTTTTAAATTCTTTCTGTATGTAACTCTTCTTTTTGGTTGCGAAATTAAGCAATTCTTTCTTCCTAGACAAGCGTGATATCCCCAGTCAGTCGTAAATTTGTAATACTATGTTCGTTGGCTCCCCACTGCGGTGCGTAACAGAAATGCTAGCTGAACTCGTTGATGACCATCAGAAGTTAAATGATACGATTTGGGAATCATATCTGCAAAGTCAGTCTCTGCCAAAAAATATTGTGTTCAGTATTTATCAACTCGAGATAATATTAAATTATTTATGCCTTATAATTTCTCAATTGATCTTTCATAAGCTTTAATACTGAAAAGGAAAATTCTTCATTTGTACGAATCATAAGCTTTGGAACGACATTCTAAAGCTAGTTTTACTATTACAGAAACATAACGCACTAACCTGAGTGCATCTATACAGAGCCTAACCGTTATCGATCGCGTATTAGTTTATGGTTCCTTCGTTGAACCGTTAATAGCGGCATCTCTCACAAGGAAACAAAGTAAATTCAAGTTCATGAAACATTTCGGCCATAGTATATACACCGAAAAGAATTAACAACAACAGTAACAATAACAATTAATAACGTCTTACGAGGTGTAATATTTACGAGGTTCTCCCTTCTTACCGCATGTCTTCGTAATGTAACTGGATAGTGCACGTCTGGCTGACAATCGGAATATCTGGATGTTCGGATCCCGGCGACGAAGCTGTGGATTCTTCCCTTTCCTAATTTCGAAAAGTTCCAAAAGTTCATTGCAAGTTCTGTAGCAAAATGCATAAGTTATATTAAATATAAAGCGAATACTTCAGCTCAAGTAATGGATAATTTGCATGGATATTTGCATAAACTTCTAGCATAAGGTTTGAAAGATCATTTTTCAACTGTGGAATCGATTATATGGAACCAATAACTTAGCAAATAACGTGATGCAAGAACCACTAGAATATGTGCATTATTCGTTTGCATAGCAACGAAAGCTATTCACTTAGAAGCTGTATCAGATTTAACTACTGATTCTTTAACTGCTGCATTAAAGAGGTTTCTGACGTGCCAAGGAGTACCGCATCAATTTTCAGTGATAATGCGTTGGAGGAAAGAGAAAATTGCATGAGATGGAAATTGTTCCAAGGAAGTTAAGTAGGTCGGAAAAGTTCAATAATAG